AAAAAAAAAAATCATCAGGCTGACAAAAGAAAGAAAAAAGTTTCGTTGATTTTTTGGTTGTTAAGAAAGAACGGCGATTTTTTTTTTTTTCTGCTGGTAATATGACGAAAAAATATTTAGCTTCAACATTTTGACGATTATGAAACATATAACAGCTCTATATTATTTCATAATCTACATCGTCATTACCAACATTTTGTAGGATCTGTCATCATTGGCATTGTCATATTTCTTCCCCATGGAATGTTTGGATAAGGTTGTCAAGTTGTTTTTGTTAAGAAAACAATGTTGGAAAAAAAAACAAAAAAAAAACGAAAAAAAAAAAAAGAAAAAGTAGTGAAAATTTTTTGATTTCTGATGCTTTCGACAATCAGTGTATAATGTTGTCATTTGTTTTTGTTGTTGTTGTTGTTGTTTTTTCTCACTGTTTGATCTGCGTTATTTGGGTCTCCAGATTCTTCAATATTTTTTTTTTTTTATTTTTCTGTTCCTTTCTTTTATACTCCATAAAGATGCCAATTCTTTATCTGTTATTATCTATGTATCCAACTCAATTGTTTTCGTTTTCGTTTTCGTTTTTTTTTTTTTCATCTTTCTGTTTTTTGACTGTTTCTACTTTGCTGATGGCTGACTGTATGATCAATGAAAAGTTGTATTTTTTTTTCCAAAAATTCAAATGATAAGAAATTAGCGTGATCAGTTTGTACTGTGCTATCTGAATCTTCATAATGTTCAATTGGTAGCTGGTTGTTGCGCAATTGGCGTTACGGGAGATGAAGCAGGGAAAGGAGGCAGGTTAAAAAACGATTGTAAAATGGAATATCAAAAAAAAAGTTGATGAAGAATAAGAAAGTATATTTGTTTAAGAATTGATCATAATGTTTGAATGATAAGGATGTTCAAGATGAAGAAGTGAACAAATTGGTGAATACAGCTGATTAGTGGAAGGTGAAAGGAAATGACAAAAAGAAAAGCAAAAATTAATGATGGTAATCACATGATAATTTTGCTGTAGTTGGCATTACTGTTCTTAGATTCTATGGGATCATTGATGAATCAGTAAGATTTCTGCGTTTTTTTTTTTTTTTTCTTCTGTCTATCATATATCCTCTAATAGGGTGAAAATGATGAAAGGAGGGAGAGAAAAAACAAAAGTGAAGTTTTGTGAAACCAAAAAACAGACGCTGTGAACATTGATTTGTACTGTGTTTCTATTTTGTGTGTGTGTGTTTTGGAGACACTGAAGCATACGGATCAAAAAGAGTGAGTTATCGCTGTGTCACAGTTTCTGTATGCGCATTCATATCATTCTTTATATTTGGGTATATAACACA